AGACCAAACCCACTGTCGTTGAGTTGATTGACTCATGGGGACTGTGTGCGTTACAGAGTACAACTGTGCTCCGTAGGGTTTTCTTGACTGTAACCACCAGGCCTCTTGCTCAGTGCTGCTGGGGTTTGAACTGCCAACTTCTAGGTTAGTCGTTGAGCACAGAGCGAGCCGCATGAACCAGTGTGTGTCCACGCCAACTGTCCAATGTCTGCAGAATTAAGGCACAGGAGGCTGGGTGGCACTCAATAGCATTACACACCCATTTCTTGTGATCTTCTCTCCCACGTGCACTTGTCCTCCTCAGTGTGAAGGGTGTTCTCTATGAGGCTCAGTGGTGCGCCTGCCATGCTGCAGCAGGTGTGCGGAGCGCGGGCAGCTCCAGCCGGGCGGTGACCTTCGTGTAGAAGGCTTCCTACAGTATCGGTCCCTTATGTCTGACTTAGTTTGCTCTTGCACCTTGTTCTCAAGGTGCATCCGTGTTGAGTGTATTGGACTTCACCTCTCCTTATGGATGAACAATATTCCATTGTATGGATGGACCACAGAGGGTTTATCCATCATCTGTCGATGGACAGTTGTGTTGTCTGAAGAGGTTTTTGAGCGCATTTTCTGGGATGCTTTTCAGGAATGCAGGGTTCACAATCATCTAAATAGCAGGACACTTCGTCTTTGGAAGGTTTTCTGGCAGACATGTCCTTGGTGTAACCAGTGACCAGTTGCTGTTGAGTTGGCACCACATCATGGCGACATCATGGGTGGGTACACCTGTGCTCCACAGGCCTTTCAGCAGCTGACTTTTGGGAGCAAACTGTCGGAGCTTTCTCCTGAGGTTCTTCTGGGGGACTCCAACCACAGCCTTGTGGGCACCAGCTGGGCACAGTCATTGTTGATACCATGCTGGCATGGCTGGGCCATAACTTCAGACATCTCTCAGGTGCCACAGCTGCTGGCACCTTTTCAATCTTGCCATCAAGGTGGAGGTCACTGTGTGAATATGGGGGGGTCAGACTACAGAGGGAGGCTCACCTCTCTGCCGAGGTCCCTAGTGCTCCGCGTGAGGTGGATGTCCAGAAGTGGGACCACATGGTGCCATGGAGCCGTCCCGCTGGATTCTGGCACCTCCCCTGCCACTCAGCTCTCACTGACATTAGGGCACCAGGCCCCTGTGAAGTCCTGCTTGTAAATGACCATACCTGAGGCACTGTGAGCAGAGATGCTCCTAGGGACTGAGAGTCGGGAGAGATTCACCTGGTTACAGGCCAGGAAATGTTTCTGAATCTCACCAGGACACCATCACGGCTCTGCACCAGCACCGTGACTCAGATATGAGGATCTGCTGCTGCCACACCAGGCAGGGGAGGGCCCACTGATTGGAATATGTCCAGGAATGGAGCTAAGTTCACAGCAAACTCTAGTTCCACACACAGAGAGGAGGCTGGATGGTACCAGTAGAGGCCACCTGCCTCTCTCTACAGGTCTGGGCATGTGGGGACCAAGTGCAGATGTCACTGAGGGGGACTGATGTCACCCAGATGATCAGTGAGTGCATGTGGGCACCAAGTGCAGATGTCACTGAGGGGGTGGTTACTGATGTCACCCACAGG